GCAGAAAGAAGTTGTAAAATTCTAATTTTGTGCAGTGTTGTTTACCCTGATGTAAGAATCTCTACCAGACTTTCTCTGGTAATCTCACCAGGGTTCCATATGAAAGCCCGATAAAAATTTCATGGAAGTTTTGATGGAACGAATAACTGAGGGAAAGTGGCATCTAAAAAACTAGACTGGTATTTGTTTAGGAGTGGCATATTGGGGGCTAGAAATCAATAAAAAGTTGATTAAATTCTCTATTAAGTTCAATAGTCACTGTTGCTACTGGGACCATGAAAATTCCAAGTGAATTAAATTAGCAATATTTGAATAATGGAATTGCAAAGAATGTACTGGTGAAGATTCTAGTTTTAAACTAAATGTTTGCCAACATTTATGAGCCAGTTGAGTTGGTGGGAAGGTGCAGGAGATGACTGTTTCATTCCAGAAAGGAAGGGGGTTGGGGGAAGCAATTGGCATTATAAGATTAATGAGCAAATGCGTTTGGAATTTGCACAGGAAGCATATGTTTCTTTTGTACATTTTGGAAAACTTACAGTTGGGTTGATTTGAATAAGCTCTTGATGGACATAGGCAAAGAGTCATAGAGATCTACAGCACAGAAAAGGACCCCTCAGCCCATGGAGACTATGCCAGTCAGAAACAACCACCTAACTATTCTAATCCCATTTTCCAGCACTTACCCCATAGCCTTGTCTGCCTTAGCATCACACATGCACATCTAAATGCTTCTTCAATGTTTTGATTGTTTCTGCCTTTCCCACTCTTACAGGCAATGAATTCCAGATTCCCACCACTCTCTGGGTGAAAAGCTTCTTTCTCACATCCTCTCTAAACCTCCTGCCCCTTACCTTCAATCTGTGTCCCTGGCCATTGATCTCTCTATCAAGGGGAAAAGTTCTTTCCAGTCTATTCTACCTATCTGTCTATTTATGCCCTCCCATAATTTTATACACCTCAATCTTTTTCCCATTCAGTCTCCTCTGCTCTGAGAAAACAGTTCCTGTCTGTCCGATCTATCTTCAAGATGGTGCTGAGAGACAGTGGAGTGGAGGGCTAGATGGCTGATAACAAATCTCTACAAGGGACAAACATCAAGTCGGTGGGGAGCTGAGAGGGGCTGGAACCATGTATAACTGGAAGAGGAGTTCAGTAAGGGTGTTGTTTATCAGCAAACCTCTTCAGTGTGCTTCAGAAGCAATGACTAACGGAACATTTGCAGGCACAGAGCCTGGAGTTAAGATTGGAGAGTCGACAAGTTAGTAACAGAAGGCACAACCTTTGGAATTAAAGTGACCATTAGAAAAACCAGAGTGATCCATATCTCAAAATCATAAGTAATACTCATTCATTGAAAGAAAGAAAAGAATTAGAACAGTGCCAGGATTCAGGCATTTAAATAAGATCTGAAAGGTAGACAATAGAAATGGGAACAAAGATTGTTTGTTCATTAGAGAGAGACAACTGGTAGTGAGTTTAACCACACCTAAGAGAAAAGGTCGAGAAGGTGAGGCCTTCATAGTAACTTCAGGCCATATGGGTGGCATGGTGGCTCAGTGGTTAGCACTGCTACCTCATAGCACCAGGGACTGGGGTTCAATCCCACCCTCAGGCAACTGTATGTGTGGAGTTTGCATGTTCTCCATTTGTCTGTGTAGGTTTCCTCCCACAGTCCAAAGATGTGCAGGTTAGGTGGATGCTAAAGTGCCTGTAATGTGCAGGGATGTGTGGGTTACCCTTGGGTAATGCAAGGTTGCAGGGAATAGGTGGGATGCTGTTTGGAGGGCTGAAGGGCCTGCTCTCATGCTATAGGGATTCTATGTAGGAGTTGAACCCATGCTGCTGGTATTACTCAGTAGCACCATCCAGACAACTGAACTAACAGACCCTCACAATAACCAAGAGTAGTATAAGGTAACTCAAGAAGCAACTTTAAAGGGCTTGATGTGGTTTTGTGTGGGTGAGAGGCTTGGATAGGGAAACAAGGGAGCAACTTACTAAAAAAACTGAAATGTGGCTTTGCAGAAAAATGGAAAAGAAATGGCCACATGAGGAAAGTAACAAATGATAAGGTGCTGAGGAGAGTTAAAAAAAATATAGAATCTTACTTAGTATAATTAGGACAAGGCAGAGAGACTGGATACGCCACATTTTAAAACGGATTTGTCAGAGAAAAATTTCCAGGGAAATAGAGAAGAGGAAGGAAGAGAATATGAATGTTGGATGACCTAAAAAATGATACTATTGAGAAATGAGATGACTGGCACAGAACAGAGAGACTTGGAGATATACATGAGCCAATGAGGTAAAGCACATAAGGTCAGGAGTCTTCTTTCAGTCATTTTTCTGAATGCTTTCAAGAAGTGTAGAGGCAGTGGCCTGGTGAGTGAGTGAGGTTAGCGGCATGGTGAGGGGGTGAGGTTAGCGGCACGGTGAGGGAGTGAGGTTAGCAGCACGGTGAGGGGGTGAGGTTAGCAGCACGGTGAGGGGGTGAGGTTAGCAGCCAGCACTCAGACCACGTGGGAGCCCCCCGCCACACCCCTGTGTTGATCTGCTGCGGAGTGCCTTTGGAGGGAGACTGTGGTGTTTGTCTTTTTAACTTTGCTCCTTGTTTTCCTGCCTGTGGTTACACTGTGTATAGTCGTAACGTGACTGGTTTTTCCTTCATTTCTCTATTCTGTAACTAAGGATTGTACCCAGGTACCTTTGTACCTGAGATGGCACTGTAAGTGGCAACTTGTAAACGTTCCACTGCACTCATTTGAGTACATGTGACAATAAAAATAATTCAATTCAATTTGTAGATCACAGAATCCCTACAGTGTGGAAACAGGCTCTTTAGCCCAACAAGTCCACAGCAACCCATCCCCTTTTAACTCACCTACTCTCCACATCCCTGAACACTACGGGCAATTTAGCACAGCCAATCCACCTACCCTGCACATCTTTGGACTGTGGGAGGAAACTGGAGCACCTGGGGGAAACCCACGCAGAGAGTATGCAAACTCCACACAGACAGTTGCCTAAGGGTAGAATTGAACCCAGGTTCCTGGTGCTGTGAAGCAGCAGTGCTAACCACTGAGCCACCATGCCCAATTCAATTCATTCAATTTTTTTATACTTGTGTGTTAGATATTCTCTCAGGTTCAGGATCACAACAACTACCACTTACATTTTTATAGTGCTGTTGATGTAATGAAATGTCCTAAAATGATTCACAGGAACATTATTAAACAAAGCATGACAGTGAGTGACCAAAAGTTGGTCAAAGAGGCAAGTTTTATGAAGTGCCTTGAAGGACGAAAGCGACGTAGAAAGGCAGAGAGGTTCAAGAGGGTACTGCATAGCTCAGAGCTCAGGCAACTGGAGGCACGGCCACTCATGGTACAGCAATTATAAATGGGAATGCCAAAGATGCCAGATTTAGAGGAGTGCAGATATCTCAGAAAGTTGTGGGATTTAGAAGGTGACAGTGATAGTGAGGGGAAAGATTATGGAGGGATTTTGAAACCAGGAGGCAAACTCTAAAGGCAAGATGTTGCTTGATCAGGAATCAATGTCGGTCACTGAACACAGGGTTGAAAGGTAAAGAGGACTTGCTGGTTTCAGATGTGGTTGCTAGAGGTTTGGAATAATCTCGGGTTTATGAAGGGTAGAATGTGGGAGAGCAGCCAGGAATGTGCTGAAATAGCCAGGTCTAGAATTGATGAAGTCACCAGTGAAGGTTTCAGCAACAGATGAGCTGAGATGGGGTGAGACTGAGCGAGGTTACTGTGTTGGGGAAAGGTGGTTTTAATGATATTCGGCTCTGCAACAAATATGACACTCCCCCAGGGTTGTGATTGGACTGTTTTTGTTTTTGTGATGAAGACTGGTTTGATTCTAGGGAGACGGAGGGGTTGGTAATTGGGGAATGGATTTTGAAGTGGAGACCAGTAGCAAGTTCTTAACTCTCCCCAGTATTTAATTAGACAACATTTCTGCTTATCAGTTTGATGATTTAGCAACGCTGGTGGAATCAAGGGAAGAAGTGCTGAGGTAAAGCTAGGTGGTGCCTATTTGCAGAAAGAAACTGCTGACTGAACGACATGGAGTAAGATGGAGACCTCTTAAACTACAGTGTCACATGCTGCTATATCATCTAGCTGTCTGAAAAGTTTAGTTATGCTGTGGAGGTGCCGGTGTTGGACTGGGGTGGACAAGGTCAGAAATCATACAACACCAGGTTATAGTCCAACAGGTTTATTTGAAAACACACGCTTTCAGAGCCTCAGTGAGGGACCAGGTGGGGTAGTGGTGAACAGTTCAGGGGGAAATAGGATTGAGGGAGCAGGGCATACGATATCATGGACAAGATGAGCTCTGAGAAGATATTAGGGGAGTTTGGAAAGAAACTTGAGAAAGATGTGAGCACCTTGTGTGAGCAGTCATATCCCTTACCCTTCAGAATGCAGCCCTAATATCTAATTCAACAAAGCTTGACCAATAAACATTAACAGGATTGTTAAAGTGAAATCTGGCACTAACTTATACATTCTCCGTGTCATTCTAGAAGGTGTAAGATTAACACAGGCTCAGACTAACCATTGATTTTACATAAACAAGATTGTAACTTGCAAAGTGAGCACAGATCATTTCCTTCACTCTTCACTTCCATCAAGTTAATACAGGCATCACTTCACTGTCTATCTAGGTGTTTGGACACTTTTCTGGCAAATGTATTTCAAGCCAGTTGTTACAAGTTATTATAAGCTGCATGCAGTTCCCTGCACGGTGCATAATCCATGTCAATGGTAGAGAAAGGATAGAGAGAAATTCAAAGCAACAGAAAGGTTGAAATCCATAATTAAACCAATGGCAACAAAGATTACATGATACAGCCTGGATGACAATAGGAGGTACATTCGTGTCCCAGATTTGCCAGAGGTCAAAGATATAGAAGGCAGATATCTGGAGAGAAATATCCAATCTATTAGACTGAACGTAGACCTACTTACCATGGATGTCTTAATGCCTGCTCACATGTATAACGTTTGTTTGGGTCCTTCTCCATCAAACGTTTTATGAAATCTTTCGCTGAAGGAAATAGAAGATGAGAGTGAATCTTTGTCCCAAACATACACAAAGCAAAAGGTGCAAACTATTCAGAGTCTTGTGGCACAGTGGTTGTGCCCCCACTTCTGAGCTAGAGACTCCAACAAGTTCTGTCTGTCCTAGAGGCATGCCTGAAGAGGTGGATTAAAACAAACAATTATAAAATAATCACTGTCAGCCAATGTGGAATAAGAACCATGTGTTGGAGTGTCATTAACAAGCCTGTTGTTATTTTTTCAAGACTATAAGGAACTAGTCTAGGTCCAACCAGCCCATTGAGCATCTTCTACTAAGTAGACCAATCCCAAATTCCTGAGAAGTGGGGGCAAAATTATAAATGGAAGATTGAATTTTGAAGAAGTATGTGACCAAAATTGATAACCAATACATTGTGTGGACTATCCAAACAATCTGTAACAGCTCATTATAAGCCGTACCTGCCATTGAATTTGTAGTTTATCATTTGCAACTGACCACAGCACGCCTGTTAATTCAGGATTAATTTCTGTTGATTCTGGATCCCAGGGTTTCAACAGTTAGCTAAACTCATATTTTGTGTTTGGTTTGATCAGCTCTTGTATAGTAAGAGTTCATCTGTTATTTAAACTGTGGAACCTTGTGGCTTCATTCTTTTAGCAAATAACTGGGATTTAGGATTACTTCTTTTCAACGTAAGTTACTGGTCTCTACTAAACTAATAATACAAGTTAACATTTGGGTTGGTGTTACTATTTAAATCGTACTGACGTGTGCCCATGTGATACATTCCACACATCAGAGTGGGACTCTATGATTCACAAATGGTATTCTGATGAATAATAACTAACATGCTTCTGGTGGTACTCAGAGAGGAATGTACTGCCTGTAAGTCCCATTCTTGGATGTCCTGTGGACTCAGTTAAGTTGCTAGTTAAATTTATAATCTATTCAGAGTACACAAATTCACCTTATGTAAGCCCTTTGCAAACAGAAGATACTTTTAGTTTATCACAGGGTGCAATGCAGAAGCAATGAACATTTGCTGAGGGCTTCCTGGAATGGGAGGGGGTAACAGGAAATGATTAGAGAGTTGTAACTGAGTTGATGTCCTTTATTACATTCTCGATTTAACTACAGATTGAGGGATTTATTGCCCAGCTACAATTGCGCTGGAGCTGAACGGTTGGCTCAGTCATTTCAGAGTCAACCATGTTGCTGTGGGTTTGGGGTCACACATTGGCCAGACTGGGTAAGCATAGCAGATTTCCTTCCCTATTACCACATGGATTTTTCGACAAAGGACACAGAGTCACCTGACTATTAATTCCAGATTTATTGAATTCAAGTTTCACCATTTGTCATGTTGGCACATGAATTTATGCCCCCAAATATCATCAGAAATCACACGACACCAGGTTATAGCCCAACAGGTTTATTTGAAATCACAAGCTTTCAGAGCACTGCTCCTTTGTCAGTTTTTTTTTACGGCGAGAGTGGAGCAGTGCTCCTAAAACTTGTGATTTCAAATAAACCTGTTGGACTATAACCTGATGTCGTGTGACTTCTGATCTTGTCCACCCCAGTCCAACACCGGCACCTCTACACCCTGAATATTAGGCAGCATCTATTGATTACTAATCCAATGGCAATACCATGATACCATCATCTGCCCTTACAAGCTTCAGGAAGAGCAACAATGGTAAAGGTGAGGGAGCAAGTTATTCTCTGGGTCTCTCAATCTCGGGAAGTGTACAGATCAATGAGCAAAGCAGAAGATGGTGGAAAACTCACAGGCTCAAAAAGGCAACATTTTCTATTAACGATAACTCAGCTGCCTCTGCTTGGCTTATCTTTTCCGAAGTGTCGGTACTTCTCTCTTTGATGTGTGCAAGGAACTGTAAAAACTTTCAATTATCATTGGCAAAGCAAAAGAGAATATTCTGAAATTTAAAAATAAAATGAGGCCAGTTGCCTGTGAAGAAACCTGCCAAACAACTGTTTTGTTTTAATTTCAAGGCTGCATTTATCTTCTTCAGCATTAAAGCATAATTCCACGCCTTGGCAGCTGTGGATCTTGGCAGCAATTATTGAAGTTCTCCATATTTTAAAAATAGAAGAAAATACACTCACTAGCTTGGACTGAGATGCACAAACTGAGAATGAGAGAGACATAGTTTGTGGTGGCAAATCTGCAGCTGATGAACCATCCTTTGTGATACTATTCACCCTAACTAGGCAAGACACTGATTGTGAGGAGTGACAAGGGAAAGTGTTTGGGGTGGGAGCAGAAACAACTGGGAGAAAAGAATTCAGAAATTCTTTGTAATACATTGGGATTTTTGGACTTCAAGCTGCATGGAAAGGTTAGAAAAGCTGGGGCTATTCTCCTTGGAAGAGGAGAAGATGGAGATGAGGCGATTTCGAAAGTAAACAGAACTATAGATTTAAGTTTGGTTTGTGTTTCTATATCGTGTGTGTTAAGAGGGGAGACATGGTTTAAGTTTCATTTTTGAATCCTGTGAGTATACCAGGTCATCTAAGAATTTGATTACAGGCATTTACATGAGGCTTATACAGAATAGTTCAGAAACAAGGGCAGAAGGAAGAAAAAGAATGGAATGTTGCCAAGCAGCAAGGTGTTCTCTGATACAAGGCGACAGACAGAAAACAAGCTATTTTAGAAAAGATAGAACTATCCAGAAGTCAAGGAGTGTATAGGACTTTGTCAGAGAGAGAACCAGGTCATTCAGAGCAAAAAAAAAAGGGCCTGCAGCTTCAGTAGTGCAGTTTAGCAGTCTCCAAAACTGTCAGGGCAGAAGGGAAAAAAGGTTCTGAATGTCTTAATGTCAATAAGAGAAAATTTCCTGAAACAGAAGGCTGTGCAATTGAGATTTAAGTGAAACCATGATAAGTGAGCTGTATTCAAGAGTCTCAAGATAAAGCATTGAGTGAATGCAGAAATTTGCTCAAAATAAGTCTAGAACAGCCATGCCCACTGAACAAGAAACATTAAGGCGGAAACAGTGTAATCCTTCACTAAGGTTTGAGTACCTTTAAAGTTAATATTGAAGGTACAAGGTTTGAATGTTTATATCTGATAGTTATGATAAAGTCCCTTTAATTAGGTCTTATACACCGTAAAATAAATCTTTTGTTTTCATTTTAGGTGTAATAAATTTTGACGTTATTCTGTTAAATGTACGTTGACAGCCTCTTGCTCAGTGACTGATCTTCACAGCAAATAAGCTACAAAAATCAAACTGATGATTGATCAAGCCAGGTCTCACTCTGGGATTGGACCCCTACTGTATTACCATCAGCTGGGATCATACACCTTACTGTGGAATTGGTTGAGAACAGTTACTGCAGGACGCATTAGAGGTTGGGCTAGGACTGGTGGGAGTTTGTTCATGAATACAGTTGATCAAACCCGAAGAGATTCAGGATCAGAATCATGATATAGTAATCCCTGGTCAAAATACAATTGCGTGGACATCAAGATTGGACTGGGTTTAGCTGTGACAAGTGGTTGAATGGTCATCAGCAAATCACTCCCTGAACGTCTGCATGAAAATAATTTCCTCTCTTAAGAATTGATCCACTTGTTTCTTTTTAGTTGACCACCTGAACCTGTTCAAATTGTATTATGTAGAATTTTGACAATAAAACATTTAACACATACATGTGAAATTTCTTTATCATAGAGGCTTGTGATTCTGTTAAAATGGGAGGCAAAGAATATACATGAATGCATATAGAGTTAAAAGTGTTTGAATGCTAATATTCACACAGCATAATTTCAGGAGAAAGACTTTCAGTGACGTAGATGGTGATACAATCAGCCAAATCATCAATATAGCTGAGAGAGATCAGAATTTTGACATTTTGTGACGAGTGATTCACTTCTGGACTCCCTGATACCTTTTCAGTGTATACATAGTCAACAGCGACATGAAAAATTCATCTCTTTTTCTGGATGCTTCAGCCTCAGGACATCAACATCATCCAGGTCAAAACAGTCCGTTTGATCAAGGTTCCTGTCCAGCTTGGAATTTTTGGATTTTGAACTAGTAGCATGTGAATTTTCTGTGTGTGTGTGCAAAGGTTTAATGATTAACTTGTAAATATTTCTGTTGCCTTGATTATTTCTTTTAACAAAACAGTATGAGATAGATAGTTCTTGGGGGCTAACAGGAATTTGTTTTCCTTGTGTGAGCTTTTATGAGTGAACAGAGTAAACAGTGTGGTGCATTGACTTCAGTCAGAAAGTTCTGAAATTGTTTTTAACTTAGAGAAAACATTACAGCTTGGCAAACTTTTTAGTCTCAGTTTGGGAGCTTTGTGGAAGTCTTGACTGACTGTGGATGTATCGAACAGTTGGCCCTGATGAAAAATAGTCTAGAATTGTTTAGGAATAGGTCACCTCAGTGTAAGCAGTTTAGTTTGAACGTCCCAGACCAGAGGTGCTTGGTTAAAGCCCTGGAGGAGTTGTGTGAAGCTGAGAAAGTCTGAACTCAGTTGTATTAAGACTTGAGAAAGAGGCTATCAGATGTTCCAGATGGGGAATTGAAGCCACCTATAATTTAATCTGATAGGGGTGACAGAGAAGTGAATTCTCTCTGGTGTGAATAGTGTAAGGAATTAATAGCATTATATTTTACTGCATGTTTTGACATCTTTAAATTTTGCTTATCTATAAATAGTTAGTTTTGCTCTATTTTGACTTTTATTTCTTGCTCTTTATAAACTGTTTTATCGTTAAACCAAATCTGCAACACTGCATGACTGTGTTTCAGTGAGAGACCATCTTGATAAAACAAAACAAAATATGATCTAGCAAGCCAGGTTTCTGTCTGGGATCTGACATGTCCTGGAGGAACATCAGTTGCAATCATGTCAACAGATTAAACAAGTACTCAGCTTTTCACTGGCCTTTTTTTGCAGCAGAAATCAGACCTCAGAGAGCAGTCCATTAGACAACATGGAGAAATAGAATAAAACATGGGGCTAAAGGGGCCTTGATCCTGTCAGAAATGAGGATGAGAATTACGGCCATTGCATCTTGGAGCTCATTACTTAAAAACGTTGTTGCTTGATCCCACTGGGATTTTATGTCCCTGAGTGTGGGAAGCCCAGATTACAGGCTCATCAACCCTGCAGAAAATCTCCAAGCTTCGAGGGTATTGTCCATGGGGAGCCACAAAGTATCCTCCAAGACACACACTGTGGATATCCACCATCATTCCTTACAATGTCATTCTCCCATTGTCATTGAGTCAACATCATAGAGTACCTCTACCTAACACCTTTGTGAATGTGCAAACATCACATTGACAAGATAAACAAAAGATTGGCATCATAATTTCAGGGCAATATGTGGTAGACAATACCCGTACCCTTTCCAGAACAGCCCACGTTATAAGGAACAAAGGAATGTCCTTCAACATACCAGATTCTGAGATGTCATCCCAGTATGGGCAGTCAAATTCATACTCTGCCTTTAATATCTGTTCAAACAGTCTGGAGTCATTTTCATCATAGAATGGAGGATATCCACATAACCTACGGGAAAAAAATATAACAAAACAGTCACTAATGATTTTGTGGGTTCGCTTATTCTTTTTAAAACTAATTACCTAAACTACGTAAACAATTATATGGCGACTGGAAATTAAAACCAAGGATCGTTGCATGAAAAAGCTGCTCCTGTGTTTTCAGGAAGCTGGGTTTATGAAGATAGACAAGAAAAACTCAGGCAAGCCAAGAAAGCAGCAAGAGGCAATTTAACAAACCACACACCTTCGTGGCTTGGAACTGTGTTGGCTGTTACCTCACTAGGTTGAAATAAAGTTATGGAGGATAGCATGGTACAGCATGGAAACAGACCCTTCAATCCAACTCATCCATGCCAACCAGATATCCTAAATTAATCTAGTCCCATTAGCCAGCATTTGGCCCCTCCTCTTCATGTACCCATCCAGATGCCTTTTAAATGTTGTAATTGTACCAGCCTCCACCAATTCCTCTGGCAGCTCATTCCATACACACGCCACCCACCCTCTGCGTGAAAAGGTTGCCCCCTAGGTCACTTTCAAATCTTTGCCCTCTCACCTTAAACCTATGCCCCTCTAGTTTTGGACTCCCCTACCCTGGGGAAAAGACCTTGGCTAGTCACTCTATCCATGCCCCTCATAAACCTCTATAAGGTCAGCCCTCAGCCTCTGACGCTCCAGAGAAAATAACCCCAGCCTATTCAGCCTCTCCCTATAGCTCAAATCCTTCAACCCTGGCAACATCCTTGTAAATCTTTTCTGAATCCTGTCAAGTTTCACAACATCCTTCCTATAGCGGGGAGGCTAGAACTGAAGGCAGTATTCCAAAAGTGGTCTAATCAATGTCCTGTACAACTGCAACACAATTTCCCAACTCCTGTACTCAATGCACCAATCAGTTAAGGCAAAATCTGGAATTGCCTCCCTGACCTGTCTGTGGATATTTCATGGATGGAAGTGGGTCAAGACGTGACTCACTGCCACTTTCTCAAGGACATTTAAGTATGGGCAATAAATGCTGACCCATCCAGCCACTGTGAAAGAGGTAAAATTCTAGATGCTAAATGCAACAGGAAGTTAAATCCTGGTGACCCTTTCAAATTGATCAATGATTGCAGGACATTTTTGTGAATTGGCAAACAATAAGTTCAGAATTGACGTCAAGTAATCTTTTCCTTTACAAAGTGATTAATATTGTAAACGATGTCCCAGATAAATGAGTGGAGACCAAAAGTCTGGAATCATCAAGAGGCACTTTGTTGCTGTAGTGGGTGACATAATTTCCACTAGAAAGATAAAATTGGTGTCCACAATTTGTGTTTATTAAAATAAAATTATGAATGCAAACAAATCTCAATTAAACTGCACTGAAAGCAATGTTGACAGTATCCAACAGTAAATCTATGTTCAGGTAGGCAGGATCAGCTTAGCTATTGTCTGCTGTACAGTCAGACTGTTTGAATTTACTACCGGTGCGAGTTAGAAAGAGTATGCCTGACGAAGACTGGAAAAGCCACTTTATCTGGAATCTTGCCCTGTGAAGACAAGCTTCCAAATGCTTATGGGCCAATTAAAGAAACCCTCAGAACATGGAGGGCTTAAGTACCTGCAGTCAATTTGGGGGCAGCTTTAAAAATTATCTTTTAATTAAACTGTTGAGACATATTACAACACATCTCTGTGGCAGATGGGACTTAAACCCAAAACTTCTAGTTCAGATGTCAAGGTAAAGTCTCCATAGTCATAGATTCATAGAGTTGTACAGCATGGAAAAAGACCCTTCGGTCCAATTCGTCCATGCCAACCAGATATTGTAAATTAATCTAATCTCATTAGCTAGCATTTGGCCCAGATCCCTCTAAACTCTTCCTATTCACATACCCATCCAGATGCCATTTTAAATGTTATAATTGTAACAGCGTCCACCCCTTCCTCTAGCAGTTTATTCCTTAGAAGGACCACCCACTGTATGAAAATGTTGCCCCTTAGGTCCCTTTAAATCTTTCCCCTCTCACCTTAAACCTATGCTCTTTAGTTTTGGAGTCCCCTACCCTGGGGAAAAGACCTCTACTATTCACCCTATCCAAGCCCCGCCTGATTTTATAAACTTCTACAAGGTTACTCCTCAGCCTTGGATGCTCCAGGAAAATTTGCCCCAGCCTATTGAGCCTCTCCCTATAGGTCAAACCCTCAGACCCTGGCAAAATTCTTGTAAATCTTTTCTGAGCTCTTTCAAGTTTTCACAACATCCTTCCTATAGCAGGGAGACCAGAATTGCACACAGACCAATCAGGCCACAGTCTGATCAGAGAGGGTCAGTACACCTCAGGCAAGGGGAGAGTCCTTCACGATAACCTCAGCTGGTACAGCAATTGAACCCTCATCATTAGCATTACTCTGCATCACAAATCCACCATCCAGCAAACTGAGCTGAGGGACATAATAACACACCAGCAGAGCCCCTAATAAGATTTTAAACGTCTGAGGCATGTGATGACACACCACTGTAAAAAGTGGGGGATTTGAACCCAAAGGTAGGGACATTACCACATTTCCTGGTCCATCAATGCTATATAAGAAGCAGCTGATATTTACCCTTGACCCTCCTCAATTAATGCAAGTGATTTGAAGGAACAGCATTGTTGTAATTGCTAACCCTTGGCACATATTTAAAAATGAGCCAATGACACCATTCACGTGAAAATTTTCACTGTGTTGCTACAATTTCACAGTTTCCTGTCCTCCACAACTGCTTACCACAATCTGGAGGAATTTTCCTCTTGTTCAACTAAAGCCTTGGGCTCTATGATTCAGGATACACCAATGCAGCAAATTCGCAGCAAGGGTAATTTCTGTAGCAAGTGCTGCAGGAACTAACCCATGGGATATCAATAGGCAAGAGTTTGACAGAAGTATTTTGTTAACCATACTTGGACATGAAATTACAAAGCAATTCTTTTTTTTTATTGGCAAATGTTGCTGAAATTGAAAGCATGAAGTATAGTGTTTGTAACTCCTCCTTTTCCTGATCTAACCAAAATTTAGTTTTATCAGGCAGATGTAAAAAGATTTTGAGATAACAAGATGTGGAGCTGGATGAACACAGCAGGCCAAGCAGCATCAGAGGAGCAGGAAAGCCGGCGTTTCGGGCCTAGACCCTTCTTCAGTAAAAGATTTTTTTGCTTTCTGTCTTCTCCCATTCCAAACCAAGCAAGTCATCAGATTATACTTAAGACACAGCTCATTTTACATACTTGTTCTGTGTGAAAGCCATCAAATTTCCATGGCTTAACGGGACACGTGGAAAGCAAAGGCAGACTCGCATTAATATAGTGCCTATCACTACCTCAGGATATCCTAGTGTGATTCTCAAGCAGTGAGGTACTTTGGAAGTGCACTTTCAGTTGGAAGAGTCCAGTCACATGATCATGCACAAACTGATGAAGATTGGAGCAGTCCTGGGGCTGAGGTCATTGCAGGCCAAACGGGGGTAGATCCTGGGAGTAAGCACTCAATAATCGATCACTAAAGGGTCGCAATGGAAGGGCTGGGGCAGGAAAATGGAGCTTGGATCTTCCTGCCCAGAACCCAATTCCAGTGAATACCAGAGGGGACTGCCATTCCACTGCTGCCTTGTTCATTGGCCCTCACTTCCAGTACAGCAATTCCAAGAGGGGAAGGCTCTGTGTCTTGTTCCCAAATAACTCTTTAACTCAAAACTAAATATCAGAACTGCATAGATCGTAAATTCTACCCACTAATGTGTATATCCAGACAAAACACACACCACTGAATTTAGGAGGTTGACTCTGTGAAAGGTTAATTGAAAACGCTTGATAGCATTTTAGCTGTTTTGATTTAAAACTAAGTTCCAAAACCCACAAACGTTTGACAGAGTGCAAATCGCATGGATGAGGATGTCAAATGACTAGGATGTGCTCCACCAGTGCTACGTTGGAGCACTGCAGCAAGCCTGAGGTAGAGATGTTGGCCAGGGAACATGGTGGGGTGTGGAAGAGGCAGGCAATTGGAAGCTCAGGGTCATTTTGCAGACAGAATGGAGGTGAATGACTGTGAACAACAGAAAGGATTAGAACAGAAATCCTGTCGGAGAGAGGAGCCAAACGTCTTCAAGGTGGGCATCCCTGGAAGAGATGTGGCAGTGTACCTGTCTAGCATAGCTCTTTTGCCCAGAATTTTATTTCTGAGATGGTCGGATGGACACAGGAATCTCCCCAGTGCCAACCTGATTGATTATCACAACACCTTCCCTGCTGCGTCTTAGTTCTTGTGCCATCGGTTGCCTTATCTCAGAGTTGTTTCAACCTCAGAGCTTCCTCCTCCCACCCTTCTTTGGAGTCAAAAGTTTTCTGCAGCACTCTGTACTGGCTTGGTGGGGCAAAGGATTTGTTCCTGTCCTGGACTGGTCTTTGTTCTTAATCTTATTCATTCAGTTTAAGTGATCGCCTTCATTTGGAGGACAAAGGTGCACACTGATAGCTTCTTGAACAGTCTGTGTTATTGCCCATTTGCTTCTTGTTGATCACTGACTAAGCTTGCATTATATTAAAATCATTAGTCAGTAAGTACGTCCTCAAGGATCCCACGCCTAAAAGTCCAGAGTAGTGATGTCCAGTTTTGAACTGAATGCCACTCAAAAATGCATATGTTGATTAATTCACATTCAGCTGGGAATAATTTCAAGGCCAGGGTTCAGATGATGCCAACAAACTACTATGCCAAAGCTGTCAAGTGCTGTGGCATTTAAACTATCCAGTATGACTCTTCCATGCAATTAAACATAAACATCCAGTTGTTCCTTTTCTCATAAATATTACCAACTCAAGCAAACATTCAACCCAAACTCAGCTGCAAACGCGGAATATCACTTTCCATGTTGAATAATATCTGTAATTACTCTCCATCTCTTCAACAACTCTGACTTCTTTGAAGTATCTTTATCCAACTTTTTGCCCTCTCCCCCGTAAGGTGTAGCCATTTTATTTTCTA